AGGGGGAGGAGGAGGGGCCAATCCTCTAGAGAGAAGGCCTGCCGCCAAGCGGCCTTCCCCCGTCGGCGCGTCGCCCACTCACCCCGTCGGGCCCTCGCCGGCCGGGCCCACACACGGCCAGAGAGCCCACACGTGCCACACGACGGGGAGCGCGTGCGCACGCCTCTTGTGCGAGGACCACAAGGCCCTGGTGAAGATGGGGGAGACCTACGGCTCCTTCGACCCGGCCGGAAAGGCGCGCCGATGCTGGGCCTGTTTTCCACCACTACCACCAGAAGTTGGAGGGGGGAAGGAGGAGGAGGAGGAGGAGGAGGAGGCGGAGGAGGAGGAGGAGGAGGAGGAGGAGGAGGAGGAGGACCCCCTCCCCCTCCAACTTATGGTGGTGGTGGTGGTGGTGGTGGCAAACAGGCCCATTAGCCGATGCTTGCCCGCTCGTTCACTTTCTCTTTCTCTCTCTCTCTCTCTCTCTCTCTCTCGGTGAAGAAAAACAGGAAAAACTATGGTACTTCGAAGAATGAGAAGAAAACTGACACGCCATGAACATAAACGTTTGGCGCTCCGCGCGGGTTCCTTGGATCCGCGCTGGGCGACGGCGCCTCCGGCGCCACCCTTGGCGCGCTCCGCGCGCCAGGGAGGGGGGGCCAGCGCAGATCCAAGAAATCCGCGCGGAGCGCCAACAGTTTTTGCTGTTGTCTGTTCTTCTATCTTTGTCTCTCTCTCTCTCTCTCTCTTTCTTTCTATCTTTCTAGTCTCGGCTCGAGGGTCCCGACCCAGAGCGCGGCCAGGACACGAAGCGCTCACAGTACTCTTGTTGTGCGCATCGTGGGACCGAGTCGTGCCAGCTCCACTTCCCCACCCGTGCGCGCCGCCATGCCACGCGCCACCACCCCGGCTTCGACCGGGGCGGCGAGCCTTCGGGCGTCCCGACGTGCACCACCCCGGAGGGCGGCTGCGTTGCTGCCTCCGCGCCGCGCCTGGCGCCTCCTGCCGCGGCGGCCGCGTCCAGCGCCTCCCCTCCAGCTATAGCCCTCCAGGGGAGCCGCGCTCGTCGAGTCTCTCCCCTGGACGAGCAGGTTCTCCCTCGTCCACCCGCGCATGACCCTCCCGATCGCCCGGTCCTCCCGCTCGCCTGGCCGGTCCAGGGGGCCACATGCGGACCCTACCCCTGCCCCCCACGATTTCTGAGGGGGAGGGTGGGGTTCACTTCGTTCGGGAGCTCCCGAGCCACGTGAACCCCACCCTCCCCCCCGAAATCGTGGGGGGCAGGCGTAGGGTTTGCATGGGCCCCCCACGATCTGCACAGCGACTTTCCAGCGCACGGGCTTCGGGCACCCCGAGCCGACCTTCGCGCGACGGTCGTGGTGCTCTTCGCGCCCTTCGCGCCGAAGTCCGAGGCCACCCCCTGCCGGCCAAGGTGACACCCAACATTTTTTAAGGGTGCTCTCCAGGGGAACCTTCGGGATGAACGTGGTGCCCTTCCCGGCGCCCTCCGCGTCGTTCGTGAGGTTCTGTATGCTGGAACTCTCTTTAACGGGCGAAGAACTGTATAAAATAACTTTTTTCGCTGTCGGGGGCGCCTGTCCCAGGGCGGCTGGAAAGTTTATACACATACGGTGGCACCATAGGGGTATAAACTTTCCAGCCGCCCTGGGGCAGTCCCCGACGGCGAAAAAGTTTATTTTATACCGTTCTTCGCCCGTTAATCTCTACCCACCGTCCACGGAGGCCACCGGGTCAGGGTTGCAGCCAGCTCCCATGTGCCAGGCCATCACGATCCTCTCGACGGGCGTTCGCCGACTGCAGATGGAACTGCCCACGGCCGCCGGGCCACGACTGCATTCAGCCCCCACGTCTCAGGAGGGAACAAAAACACACAGACACAATTAATCCTCGACTCCCAGGAAAATATGCGAAAATATGGGAAGTGGGGGAAAGACAAGAACCCAGAAAATATGGGAACATATGGGGAACCTTGTGGATGTTGTCTATTTATATGTGTGTGTATGTGTGTGTGTGTGTGTGTGTGTGTCCCAGGGCCCCTTCAACGTCGCAGTCCAATGAGACCCTCCCAGTGAGAATCCGCCGGCCACCGCTGGCCCCAGCCTAGGGGTCGAGCAGGCCCACCCTGTGGCCGGTTCCCCCGGCTGCGGTTCGTCGCGGCCTTCCCACCGAGAGCCCGCCGACCGCCGCTGGAGTTGATTGGAGGGGCCACCAGTCCACTCCAGCCACGTCGTCGTCGTCGTCGTCGTCGTCGTCGGTCGTCGGTCTTCGGTCGTCGGTCGTCGGTCGTCGGTCGTCGGTCGTCGGTGTCGTCGGTCGTCGGTCGTCTCTCGTCGGTCGTCGTCGTCGTCGTCGTCGTCGTCGTCGTCGTCGTCGTCGTCGTCGTTGTCCTCGTCGGTCCCCGTGTCGTCACCCATGTCGTAGTGCAACGTCGGCCTTCTTCAGAGCGTCTGCTGACTCCCATGAGCATCAGCCACGGGGTACGCCAGGCCCACGCTGCAGTCTCTCTTCCTGTCGTATCCCCTCGCGTCTCTTCCCCCGGGTGTCAGCCGACTGCCACTGGAGGTTTCCAGACGGGCCACCAGGCCAAAACTGAACTCTGTCCTACCATCGCGCTTCATTGTGATCCTCCCGAGCGTCCACCCACACCCGTTGGCATCGGCCACCAGGGGCACCAGGCCCATTCCGCCACCAGCCCTGTCGTTGATCCTCGAGGCCGCCCCGCCGAGCGTCTGCTCACCAGCTCTGGTGTCGGGCCGAGTGGCCACGAGGGCAAAACTGCAACCTGCCCCCGTGCTCTTATCCATACTGCTGTCCATTTGTGACCCTCCTTCTGGGCGCCCGCCGATCCTCATGCGGCCCAATCGGGCCGGGCGAAAGGGGGGGATTGGGAAAAGGGGGGGTACGAAATCTGCTGCATGCAGCTGGTTTCGGCCTCACTGAGGGGCCCATTCCTCGATACATAGCCGCCTCCGGCGCCGGGAGGCGCCGGGAAAATCAGCTACGTGAGCTGATTCTCAAACTTCCCCTTTGCTATCCCCCCCTTTCGCCCGACCCGACCCAACCGGCGACCACAGGCCGGCCGTCCATCGGCCGCCCGACCCCCCACGACGTCCGTCCGCCGACCGTCCGCCGACCGCCCAATGACCACTCGTCCTCCGACCGCCGACGACCGAGCGCCGAGTGCCCGACACCAGACGACGACGTCCGACGACCGCCCGACGCTCTTCTTCTTCTTCTTCTTCTTCGGAGGAGGAGGAGCAGGAAAGGGGGGGAGGGGGAGGAGGAGGAGGAGGAGGAGGAGGAGGAGGAGGAGGAGGGGAGCGAGGAGGAGGAGGAGGAGGTTTCCATGCGGACCAGCCGCCCAGGCGAACCCCGACCAGCTGGACCGAGAGCATAGACTGCTGCCACCGCGGGGCCGTTCCGCCTTCGGGCTCTGCTCCTCTCTCCTCCTCCTACCTCCTCCTCCTTCCTTCCTCCTCTCCTTCTTTCTCCTTTGTTTTTTTTTCCATTTTTTTGATCTTTTTATTCTCTTTTCTTTTCCCCTCCGCCTTTCCACCTCCTCCCCCCCTCCTCCTCCTCCTCATCCTTCCTGCTCCTCCCCTCCTCCTCCCTCCTCCTCCTCCTCCTCCTCCTCGGGCTGTCTCCGCCTCTCCGGCACGCGGCAATCGCTCCGAAATCTCCGGTCCCTCTCCAAGCGATCGCCCAAATTGACCGATGGCTTGCCCGCCGACTCCTGGAGCACCATCTCGGATCGACTGCCGTGCGTTCCCGAGTGGGCCCTCGACGCGCGGCTCCACCACGGTCCCCCAGACGCGGACCTCGCCCGCATCCGTACGGTGGCCCTCCAGCTGGCCACCTGGGCTCCCCTGCGTGCGCCACCCCTGCGGTTCGCGCTTCGCCGTGCCGAGGCTCGCGCCGAGGCACCCCCGGCAGCCGCCGTGCCCGCGGATCGCGTGCACCGTGTGCCGGAGGGTTCCAAAGGCGGTTTTTGGGGAGGGCGTTTTCCAGAGAGCCCCCCATGGGGGCCTCGGAACCTCGTCAAAGCAGGGGGGGACCCCCTCCCCTTTGGAACCTTCAGGGTGTGCCGCACGCGGAGGAGGCATGCCAGCCACACTTGGGGGAGCTGTGGTCCTTACCCCCCTGGGGGACCCATCGATTTCGACACCCCTCTCGAGAGATCGTCGAGGCGACGGGTTCCCCCAGGGGGGTAAGGACCACAGCTCCCCCAGTTGTGGCTGGTCGGGGAGGGCACCGGCGGTCCTCTCTCTCTCCGCAGCGCGCTCGGCCGCCCGCAGGCCCGTGCTAGGGTCCACACCGGAGCCTGCGCGCCGGCCCCTCTCCGGCACCCCCGCCGCTGTCCTTCAGGAGGGAAAGAAACCCACAGACACAATGAATCGTCGACTGCCAGGAAAATATGCAAAACTATGGGAAGCGGGGGGGAAGACAAAAGCCCAAGAAACAGGGGAAAGTATGGGGAGTCTTTTTATTTGTGTGTCCTGGGGCCCCTCCTGTTCGGTAGGCACCAGCGCAGGGCGCCCTCGAGGGCGCGAAGTTTTTCGCGCTTCGCGGCTTCGCGGTTCGGCTCCGGTTCTGGGGAACAAAAATTGTGACATAAACATGAAAACTCGCAGGTCCGCGCGGATTTCTCGGATCGGCGCTGGGGCCCCCCGGCGGCGCCTCCGGCGCCGCCCCTGTCGCGCTTCGCGCGCCAGGGAGGGGGGTCCAGCGCCGATCCGAGAAATCCGCGCGGACCTCCGAGTTTTTATGTTTATGTCACTTTTTGTTCCCCTAGGTTCCTCCTCATCGTCCTCTTCTCCCCTGGGAGGCGGCGCGAGAGCGCGGAGTTACTCGCTGTTCGCGCATCGCGCGGCGCGAAGCGCGAAGTTAGGAGCCCTTGCACCAAGGTCACAGTCGTGAGCCAGGTGCGAAGCCCCATCAACGGCCACCACGGCTACGTCATCGGCCGCGCGGGGGGATCGAAACCAGTCGTGGGTGGTCCTTCTGAGCAATGGTGGCACTGCCCACTTCTGCGCGTCAAGTTTGGCTGCTTCCTCCCCTGGGGAGGAGAAGCCTACCGAGGAGGCCGAGAGGGCGGACAGTGCCACTGCGCCAATGCCAGAGCCCGAGCCAGCTTACCCCACGCATCCCGCAACAGCACCCGCACACACGCCGCCCCTCCCCGCGCACGCGGCGGAAGCTCGCGACCATCCGAGCCCCACGACTTTCGCTCCGAGCTCGGCTGCGCTGCCGCATCCGCCAGTCTCCCACGCCCTGCCGCGACGTGCCTCGTCCGGCGGCGCCCTGCCCCACCCGGCAGCGCCCCGACCCGGCCAGCAACGCCCAGCCGCGGTTGCCCGCTCCTGCCCCGCCCCTTGCGGGTGCCGATCCTGGCGAGGACGACGATGACGTCCGTTTTGGTACGACGATCCGCCGCCGACCGCCGGGCCACCATCCGAAGACCGACGACGGCCGTCTGCCGCCCGTCCGACGACTGCCCGCCGCCTGTCAGCCGCCGACGTCTGACGGGCCTGCTTTCCACCACCACCAGAAGTTGGAGGGGGAGGGGGTCCTCCTCGGGGAGGGGGTCCGCGGAGACCCTGGCGGGGGGGCGGCAATCCGACTCGGGACGCCCCTCCCCCCTTCCCCTCCCCCTTATCCCCCCTGGCTCCCACTCCTTCTCCTCCTCCTCCTCCTCCTCCTCCTTCTCCTCCTCCTGCTCCTCCTCCTCCTCCTCCTCATTCTGTCTTCCTCCTCCTCCTCCTCCTCCTCCTCCTCCTCGATCGAGACGAGTCCCCCCCCCCGTACTCCCCCCCCTACCCCCCCCCGCCAGGGAGGGCAAAGGCGGAGGGAATCGACTTCACTGCAACGTTTCGTTTCTCTGTTCGTTCCTCAACGGCAACGAGGACGACGAGGACGACGACGACGAGGGGGACGTCGACATTGTTCTTGGGACTGGCAAGGGCGACGACGACGACGACGACGACGACGACGACGACGACGACGACGACGACGACGAGGACGACGACGAGGACGAGGACGAGGTCGAGGTCGAGGTCGAGGACGAGGACGAGGACGACGACAGCGTCTCGCACGCGCCGAGGGGTCGGCGGATCGTCGCAGCGTCGGATCTCGGGGGTTCCCCGGGGCGCGGTGCTGGCCGGGGGGGGCGCCCCGCTCGGCCGGGAGGCGATCTTCCTGGACCAGGTGGAGGCGGTGGAGTCCCGCTGGGAGCCGCGCGGGCCTGGCTGGCTGGCCGCAGTGGCGGTGGCGAGATCTCGGAGGAGGGAAGGTGTGGCGTGCAGGTGCCAGGGCTCGGGCTGCACGGTGCTGTGGCAAGTGATCGCTTTGTGATTCATCGTTTTGCCGATCGGCGCGGGCCCTCGCATCCCCCCCCCCCTTCCCGCCCCCCCCTTTTTGGCGCCTGTTTCGAGCAGGTCGAGGTTCCCCCATAGGCCGCACTGTTGCAAACAGTCGCACTGCGCAGAGGTCCATAGCCAGACAAACCCCCTCCCCCCTCTTTTCCGCCCAATGTCGAAACGCCGAATAAGAAAACGCTCACCAATTTTGTGGACAATTTTCGTGTTGGTTTCGTGTCGCAGCGAAGGGGGACGACGACGGAGCGACGGAACACGAATACACAACGACAACGAAACACACCGCTCAGCTCGAGCCCTGGCAGATGCGTCTCGGTGCCCCTCCCACTTGTTCGCTGTTTGGGGCCTCCCTTGGGGGCCCCTCGTCGCCTCAGCCAGGCTCGCCCTGGAAGAATCTCCTGGCCACCACGAGATGCCTGGGGTGTTCGGCGTTGCCGGTATCCTCCTGCCCCCCCCCCCCCCGCACCGCCAGGATCCAGCGACATGGTACAGTAGACCCGCAGAGTGAGGATGAGCCGCTTCCCAAGCTCACCCTCGCATCCTTCCCCTTCGGCGCATCCTTGGCCGCTTTCGCTGGCCGCGCCCCGCCCGCAAAGTGTCGACGTGGCCTTCCAAGGGCCTTGCATCCTCATCGCGCGTCCTTGCTATACGGGTTGACCCTGGCGTGTATGAGCGTACAGCTCTTCCTTTCGGCCTCACAGGGGTTGTGAAGCCACACCTTCCATCGAGACAGCGGCACGCCCGCCCAATGCAGCGTTCTTGGCGTCGCTCGGACGTGTGCATTTTTCCTTCGGCGGGGACCATCGAGGAGCATCCTTGATCCTTTGGCGAAAAAGCCACGCGCGAAACCGAAGAAAGCACAGGGAAGGGACGTCCGAGCGATGGCCAGCGTTGCACCGCGCCCCCGCCCCCTCTCTCTGAGACGGATGTTCTCCCAAGCGCCAGGCTTTCTGTTGCATCTTCGGGGGACCTCGCCTGTCCCAAAGATTGGTGTCTTTTGGGGGGCCCGACGCGTGCTCGATGCGGACTCGTCGCGGATTCGGCGTGGATTCGACGCGGATTCGACACGGATTCGACACGGATCCGACGCGTCCGACATGGATTCGACACGGATTCGACGCGGACAGGGCCGCGACGGGACAGACAAGGCCCCCCGAGGATGCAACATAACAAGCTTTCTGCCGGGCCAGAGGCGCCGCCCCCTCCGGGACGCGGACCCGGCAAGAGGAGGGCCGCGGGAGGGCATGGGGCCGCCCGCAAAGGAGGCTCGGCGTGGCCTTCCAGGGTCCTTTGCATCTCTCTCGTGCGCCCTCTCCTTCCGCGGGAGGACTGCAGGTGGCTCCCCCCCCCCTCTCCTCTCCGCCGCAGTCCCCGCTGTTTCTCGGGCGTGAGGGGGGGTGGAGACGCTCCTCTTCCTCCTCCTCCTGCTTCTCCTGCTCCTGCTCCTCCTGCTCCTCCTCCTCCTCCTCCTCCTCCTCCTCCACTTCCTCCTCCCGCTCCTCCTCCTCCCCCTCCTCCTGCTCCTCCTCCTCCTCCTCCTCCTCCCCCTCCTCCCGCTCCTCCTCCTCCCCCTCCTCCTCCTCCTCCTCCTCCTCCTCCTCCTCCTCCTCCTCCTCCTCCTCCTCTTCCTCCTCCTCCGCGGGCGCACGGGGAAGCGCGGGTGGATGGCAGACGTGGGCAGGGTCGTCGCACGCGCGAGCTGCGGGCCCTAGATCCTCTCCCTCTGGCCCTTCCCCGCCCAGCCTTCACTGCTGCCCCCTTGTATGGCCAGGCGTGAGAGCGTCCCCCCCAGCCATCTTGAAGTCTTCCAGCTCCTCCCATATGTCCCGAACCCATGCTACCACATATCCATCCCTCCTTCCCCCTTATCTCTCTCATCATCTTTCTTCCTCTCTCTCTCTCTCTCTTTCTCTTTAACCGCGAGCCCTGGATCATAAATCATACCTACCCCCCCTTCCCCTTATCGGGCCTCGGGGCCGCCTAAAAACGGCTCGGGGTGAAACGCCGTTCCTGGGGAAGTGGTCCAGAGGTCGGCGGCCCGCGTCTCGAGAAAGCCCATCCCTCGGGGGCGGCAACGAGGGGGGTGATGACCAGGGGGGGTGGACATCATGGCGGGGGCCATGATGTCTCCCCAGATGTCATGGCGCCTCGTCCTACATCATTACGTCCCTGGCCCCCCCTCCGGGCCGTAACAAGGGGCCTGATGACTGGGGGGGGGGGGATATCATGGCGGGGGCCATGCTGTTTCCCCACACTCCATGGCGCCTCCTCTTGTTTCACTACGCCCCTGGCCCCCCCCCCGGGCCGCGCACGTGCCGCCGGCCATGATTTCCGCCCCCCCCCCGTCTTGGACACCCCCCTCTTCTTGGCCGCCCCCGAACCCCACGCCTCCCTGCCTGCACGGTGGGGGGGGCGGGCAGCCGCCGTCGGAGTCGCAGGGTCGCGGGGCCGCGCGCGCTGCGCCTCTCTCCCGCGCAAGCCGAGCTCGCCCGTCCCCGTGCGGGGAGAAGGGAGGCGGGCAGCAAGGCGGCGTGGCCGCGTGCCAGGCTGGCCTGCGCGCACGTGGGCGTTTTTTTTTTTTTTTTTTTGTTTTTTTTTTTTCGGCATTTGGGCTCAAATCGGGCACGTCCCTCTACTGGAGGAGTATTCAAACACAGTAATAGTACGGGGACGATTTTTTAAAAATATGTTTAAGCATTTTTGAGTATTTTTTTGGGGGGGGGGGTATTGTTCATTTTTCGTCCAAAATCCGCGTGTATGGGGACATGCCCGACCTAACATGGGGCGGATGGGGCGGGAGGATGGGGGGAGGGGGGGTCTGGCTCTGGACCTCTGCTTACTGCGACTGTTTGCAGCAGTGCGTCGTATGGGGGAGGCTCCACCTGCGTGGTGCAGGCGCCAGAGACAGCCAAGATTTGCTCCATGGGAGGGGGTGGGGGGGAGGGGGGTGCGAGGGCCCGCGCCGATCGGCAAAACAATGAATAAAAAACGCTCGCCATAGCGGCCTTGCGCGACGTGTTTCGGCCGCGCCTGGCTGGTTTTGCCCTTGCGCAAGCGAGGGGCGGGGGCTCGCCGTGAGTGAACGGAACGGGTCGCAGGTTTTTGATTGTTCTCGGGCCTTGAAATCAATTCAGAACGATTGAAGTGTCCCGAGAGAAGGCCCCGCAGGAATCCGTTTTCTTCAGGGCCCGTTTGTTTAATGCCGTGGTGCGGCAGTGATCGAGGTCTTTTCTCGCGTCTGACAAGCGCGCGGCTGACCACAACGCCATACTTGCTCTGTCGTTTTGTCCGAACTGGAGCGTCGGAGAGGGTGCCACATGAGCCCGCGCGTGTCTCAGCCTGAGAGAGAAAGAGGGACAGAGAGAGAGAGAGAGAAAGGGAGAGAGATACTCTGACGAAATGCCAAGATGTAAGTAGGAAGCTGTTTTCCGATCTTCTCAGCACTGCGATTCGAGCATGAGGCAACCAGGATACGCTGCGAGCACCCGTGGGCGCGCCTGGACCTCGAATCTAAATGATTGCGGAACACGCCTAGATATGAAAGAGCGTGTTCTACCGCTGCTGGCGGAAAACCGGGGGGGGTCACTACCGGTTCGAACCCCTCCCCCCCCCCCCCCCCCCCC